GATGGATGGATGGATGGATGGATATCTTCAAACTAACCAAATATAAAGTTATTAGTGAAGAAAACCCGTCTGGATAACAGCAGACTGACTGCTCGTAAAATATACGACAGGTCTGGACCACTCGTAAATTTTGTTCGTATCTGAAAAAAATCGTAGAATACGAAAACATTGGTGAATGCCACAAATYCTCCTAAATCACTCGTACGCACAATTTAAGAACAAATCTGTGCGTACGAACGGTTCTTGCATGAGGCCCAATGTTCATATGTGCACATGGGTTTGATGTCTCAGCTTTAATAAACCTGTTATTGTGAGAATCCATTTTTCTGTGCACTTTAGGAGTGGTTGTTTGTTGTACACTTGTGAAAATGTTAAAAATTGTGAACCACCTCTTAGCTTTAAACGTGTCCCTGTTCGATCTCTAAAACAACATAAACACAATTTAAAAACTTCATGAAACCAAACTACTCTAAACTGAAAGAAGAGGGAAAATTGAACAAAATGAGTCATATTTATGTTGCCAGGTTTCAGGAAAAAGAAAATGTTGCAGAAGACTTCAGTGCATTCATAATGAGTTATCAGACTCTGAAGGCAACACTTTTAGCATGGCTATTCATCTGCTTTTAACAATGAAGCAAAATTGAATGTACCTGAGTCCAGTTTCATATTCCTGGACATCCAGGTACTTTTTACTGTACAAAGTTACAAAGGTAAAGGCGATTCTAAGCAATAAAACAGTAAAAATGTTTTGCATAGCATTTGGCTTTGCTGTTCCATGATCTACTAAAGGTTTAAAATGTAAATGCCAAATGCTAATGTCTGAAAGGAAAGTTGGCAGAAATGAATCAGTGACAGAGTTTGGAATGATGTGATAAGTTGGTTCAAACTTGTAGAAACTCAAGGCAAACATGGCAACACTTTCTTAAAGCAACACACATGCAGCGCTGTCTAAATAACCTGAAAGAACACATATGTGATACAAGAAAATAGTGCTTGGCATCATTTATGATYGATTCTAATCATTAAATCCTGATATGAATGAACAGCCTTTATCTTACAGCTTACACAGCTCCTTTGATCACAGGTTCCCTGTTCAGATACGTGGCCCAGTACACCAGGTTGAAGGTCCCAAACAGAACTGGGAACACGATCCTGGACATCTTGTCTATCTTGCTCACGCTGTTGTAGGTCTTTTTAGGATCTGGGGCCTTGGTTTCAGATGGTTTGAGCTGAACAGTTGTGCTGTTTGAGATGGTGGAGATGGATGCATCCTTGGTAAGGTTGGCTGTGTAATTCACTCCAGCTGAGCAGGTGTTGTTTGGCTTCTTGGATAGAGCTAAAGGGTCTTTTTTCTACAAAGTACAAAAAGAAGCACTGWTTCAATAAAAACATAATGTTGCACATTGATCATGACACAGCCTCATTCATACAGCTCAGTCTGGGACTGACATGTGTTCTGTCCTCTTCGGATCATTCAGAAAAAACACAGAGGTGGCAAKGGGAGTAAAGTGAGCCCACCTCTGACACCCTTCTGAGCCCCCAACAGAGTAGTATCAGARCTGGGCCCGAGCCGAGCAGACGGAGTTGTGTAAAAGCAACCCACAGCTCAGAAAATTATAATGAACTGATGACGTCAGTGAGTGACCGCAGGATTAATCAACAGATTTATTACAGAGGGAATAATAAAGATGACACAAAACAACAATTTTGTAGTTAGTTTAAAAATATTGAACCACAGGATCACTAAAGTGAGTTTTTTCAGTTTGTTTTGTGTTTGATTTGAAGCAGATGTCAGTGAGCGACTGCAGGATTAATCAACAAATATTTTACAGAGGGAATATTAAAGGCGTCACAGAACAGCAACTTTGTAGTTAGTTTAAAAAATATTGAACCACAGGATCACTAAAGTGAGTTTTTCAGTTGTTTTGTTTAATACAAGGCAGACATCTGTCATACAATAAATATGTTGAGGTCCACTTCAGCCAAGCAGGTCTTCTCCACTCGTCTTTTGGTTCCACACTGCTGGGTTCATTTATGAACGTGGACATGTGAGCTTCTCCTGTGATTTATGAATGAACCGAGGGAGCTTAAAGCTGGACTGGTCTGTGCAGCGATGTTGCGGAACTGTCTTGTGAAAGAGGCCAGAGATGCTGTTAATTTATACATTTATACTTTTTTGTGTTGCATTTAAACACYATGTATCTACGAGCAGAGGGCAACAAACTGTAATGGCAACAAAGAGGGTGATTTGGTCAGCAAGGATAGCGTTAGCCTTCCTTGTKACTATGGTTCTGTAGAGCTGGGGGAGCTCCAGATTTATCCCTATCATTTTGCTACACATCCTTATAATGCCGTTGAACATATTAAGATGGAGCTTTGAATTTAAAAAGTGTTTGAAAATGAAAGTTTACTTAACCAAAAATCTCACGACCCTCCTGCAGTACCTTTTCTTATTTGCTAACTTTGCAAATGATTAGTGTACCAATTAGCTTGCACTAAATTTAGTTGTGCTAACATCAATTCTAAATTGTGATGATATAAGCCATTTTGGGACTTACGATTTAGAACTTAAAGAACGAAATGCAAAGACCTTTATTATAGCGCCCCCTATAGGTGGACATGTCTGATTATTTTACCCCTCTGTATGCACGAGCCACAGTTAGCTAAAAACTTGTTAATATAAATATAATATAGTATAGTCCTTGTGGTTTAGACTGTAGTATGAGTTTTTCTGAAAGAGGAAAAAATAAAATAGAAAATACAGTAAGAATGATAATAATAAAAAAAAAACAGAACCAATGGGGTTCCATGCTCTGCTGAATGCATGGAAATGCAMCCTTAGCTATTCCCTCATACATGCAGCGCTGCAAGCCTGCGTCATGTGACTTGAGTTGAAGCTAAGTGTTTGATTAGCTGTACCCACCATTATTTACCTTATTTCTTTATCAGTGTGCATTGCCAATGCAATGCACACTATTGTGATTCGTTTCCCATCCAAGTCATCTCAACTTTGCCATGCTTCTCCTCCTGCATACTTTGTCCTAGAGCTGCCTTTGTAATTTCTATCTGTAAAGGTCCTGTGCCAAATGATTGCTATGCCTTTTGGTACCAGCACAACTTGTAGTTTTTGAAATATTAATGTTTAAACT